CGGTCCTGCCGAGCCTCTGAAGTGTCTCGCCGCCCGGCTCAGTTTAGTGCTATTGCAAAGCCACAGTGAAAGCAGAGCAGGGAGACTGTGAGCCAAGAGCAACCTGTTCTTTGAAAATAGGTAGCAAGTCAGTGAGGTGGAGAAATTCAAGAACACACTTCTAAATGTCGCACCTTATGGAAGAGGAACCTTATATAAGTAGTATTGAGGATGCTGGAAAGGACACGAAGGGGTTTTTTCTGTGAAGAAGGCTGCTAACATTTCTTGAGCATCTGTGATATGCAGGTGTGACCTTTTGGAGGTGCACTATCATTTAACTCACTACTTACGGATGTAGGTGGTATTAACCCAGTTTTAAAGATTAGGGATTTAATAAAGGCATAGTTACTCAGCTACTGTTATCCAGGTTGTCATGGGAGAGTCAGGATTTGAATCATGGTCTCTAACTCTCAAGTCTGAGTTCTTTTCATCTGTATTCTTGTGACTGCCTCCATTTCTGCAATATGAAGTTGACTTTATCTATCAAATAAACTAGTGAATGAATTAGTAAGAAAGTTATGATGTAGGCATCAACACATTTATGCCTTCACAGCATGTTCATAACATACACATTCAGTACTGGTGGCCCAGTGACTAAATGCTAGGCCATTAACTGAAAGGCTGGTGATTTGACTCCACCAAAGGACTTCTCTAGAGAAGAAAGCTATGGCAGTCTGTTTCTAACAAGATGATAGCTTTTCACTCTCTATTGTTACTGTTAGGTGCCATCAAATTGAGTACAACTCATAGCAACCCAGTGGGTTTTCAGAGAGGAAATCGCATAGAGAAGACTGTTCATCTTTCTCCCTTGGAACAGCTACTGCGTTCAAGCTGCCTGCCTTTCAGTTGGTAGCACTACTCCATTACCACTGTTGTAGGGCTGTCGAGTCAACCAAGCCATCGCTGACCCTCCAGTGGGTTTTCAGAGCAATTAATCTCAAGGAAGGAGATTCATCTTTTCTCCAGTGAAAGCCTGCCTAGTGGGTCAACCCAGAGTTGATTCCAACTCAATGGCACATAACAACAAATGAAATATAAAGGCCTTTAATGCATTTTTTTAAGTGAGAGAGCTTTGCATGTGTTCTTTATGTGCTATTTGGTTGTGATGGTGGTGTTGCTGTTGTGTACCATCAAGTCAGAACCAACCCATCCATAGCTGACCCTCCAGCAGGTGACGCTCCAGCAGGTTTTCAGAGGCAGTTAACCGCACAGGAGAAGACTGCTTATCTTCTCGTGCAGCGGCTGGTGGATTTGAACCGCATGTCTTCGGGACTGCAGCCCAGCTTCTTACCACTAGGCCATCAGAGCTCTCCAACTATTTGGTTAGTACATATAAATTATCACTTCTCTTCAGGAAGTTCTTCTCAAATAAAGGCAAAAAGTAAACAAAGTAACACATGCACTTAAATAAAGGTTAAAGGGGAGAGGTGATTCTGGATCTGTAAGCTAGAGGAAGAAACAACTGAAGAATGTTAAAGGGAGCTTTGGTGGTCTACTGGCTAGAATGTGCACTGCCAATCCTGAGGCCCACAATTTGAAGAGACTCGGTCCACTAGCTGCTTTTCCAGAGAAAGGTGGACAGTCTCCCCCTGTGAGATTAACTGCCTTTGAAAAATCACTGGAGAGTCAGCTCTGAGTTGGTTCCAACTTGACAACATATAACAACAAAATAAAATATAAAGGCCTTTACTATATTTTTTAAATGAGAGAATTTTATGTTATATAAATAGGTATACGCCACACAAATAAAGTGTTGGAGAATTCTATAACAAAGATGATGACTTAAACTATTGTTTTGGAGTGTGCCAGAAATTCCCCCTAGATTTTAAAAGTATATGTGATTTAGATGCATTTATATTGCTAGCCATGTATTTCCCCCTCAAGAATCAAGAAGTTAATCTGAAATCTGAGATAAGTATAGACAATAGAATATATTAAACTTTGGGAAGAAAAGAAAGCAAGATCTTAATATCCAAATATTTTTAATAACCAGAGGAAATGTTTCAGAGGGGTGCACAAAGGCATTTATTGAACCCCTTATTTTCTGATACTACCTTTCATTTCTGTGACAGAGTTCAGTTTATGAAACAGTTTCATGACTGTGACCTCATTTCATCCTTATGACAATCCCTCAGGGTGAAACAGGGTTGCTATTTCATTCTCAGGAAATCAAAGCCTTTCCTCTTTAAGAAGAGGAAACAAAACCTTAAGAATAGTATATTCAAGAACTTCCACAGTAACCACTGAGTATGTCCATTGGTATATGTGAACAGATAATTATGTTGCTTTTGTTGTTGTTGTTATGTGCCATCTAGTTGCTTGCGACCCCTATGTACAACAGCTCTGAGCCCTGCTCTATCCTGTGCCAACCTTATTGTCTCTGACACACCTACACCCAGTACCCAGTCATTGAATCAATCCATCTCATCCAAGGTCTCTTATGCTGTCCCTCCACCCTCCCAAGCATGACTTCCCTCTCCAAGAACTGGTCCCTTCTTACAATATGTCCAGGGTATGTCAGAGGAAGCTGCAAAATCCTTCCCTCCAAAAAGTAGCCTGGTTTCACTCTTTCTAGGATGAACCTATTTGTTCTCCTAACAGTACATGATATTACTCATCTCTAGCACCACAGCTCACAGGCATCAATTCTCCTTTTGTCATCCCTAGTAATTATTTAGAAGTATTTAAACCTGACTTAATGAGGTATGTTAGAATAGAAGTGTGTTAGGACAGTTATTTGGACTATGTGGGGAGGAAGTGATCTCATAGTAATCCTCAAAAACATCCCCAGTTACTGTCCAGCTTTATAATGCATAGCAAGTAACTGCAAAGATCATGGCCTGGATCAAGTGCACCTTACTCTACAGACTGACGTTGTTCTTCAATACTCTGGAAAGGTCACTGACATCAGACTTTCCCAACAGATTCATTTAAATTAATCCCACTGCCATTAAATCTATTCCAACTAATAGTATCCCTTCATCAGGTTCCTGAGTCAACAAATCTTTATGCCAATATTTCTCCCAAGGAGCAACTGGTGGATTTGAACCACTAACTTCTCGATTAACAGAACAATAAAGAACATATGATGAAACCAGATTTCCTAGGATAAACTAACAGGGCTTTTGAAAACCTTAATGTCACAGACTTATAACCAGCTCAAGGTAAAAAGTGCTATTTGTATGCATTTTGTCTAATAGCCTCAAACCACAAAAGGACTTATATAAGGGGAAAAAAGCAACCTCAAAATATTTTTTCTTTTTAATTTATTTAAATGAAAGTTTACAGAGACTTAAGGTTTCCATTCATTCATTCATAGTTGCACTTTTCTCCCAGCCCACCTCCTCCCCCTCCAATTCACTCTTCTCCTTCAAAAGTAAAACTCTTTCATTGTTATACAATCTGTCCCCCCAAGTCCACTCCACTGTACTGCCTTCATTCTGGACTCCTGTCATGACAATAATACCTAATCATATATCCCTTTTACACAGTTCTCTCCCTCATCTGTTTCAATGCCATATATACCATTCCTCCCCTCCTTCTCTGTCTTCCCTCAACCCCGATGTCAGTCCCGTTTTACAACAGTGGCCCAATGTGATATCTTTCCTTTTGTGACTGAGATATTTCACTCAACATAATGTCCTCCAGGGTCACCCATTTTGCATAATATTCCATGAGTTCTTTGTTTTTCAGTGCTGCATAGTATTCCATAGTGTGAATATACCAGAGCTTCTCTATCCATTCATTCACTGATGGACACTTGGGTTGTTTCCAGCTCTTTACTATCGCGAACAAAGCCACAATAAACATGGATGTGCCTATATCTGCTTGGGAGAGGATTATGATTTCTTTAGGGTAAATTCCCAGTAGTGGAACTGCTGGGTCAAATGGTATTTCTATTTGCAACTTTTTGAGAAAGCGCCATACCGCCTTCCATAGTGGTTGTACCATTTTACATTCCCACCAACAGTGAATAAGGGTTCCAGTTTCTCCACAACCTTACCAGCATTTGATGTTTGCTGTTCCGATAAATTTTGCTATTCTTACTGGGGTGAGATGATAGCTCATAGTTGTTTTGAGTCAAAATATTTTTAAGATTTGTACACCCATGTTTATCGCGGCTTTAAGTCTAGGAGCCTCGAGATGCCCCCACCAACTGTGCAGTAGTAGCATTCCTTCCTTTTTTTCCTGGAGTGAATACTAAGGGTCCATATCCTTTATTTCTTCTTTTAATCCCTCTTAGCTTCTTCTTAGCAGTTAGGGACGGCCCTGCGAAGATCATTCAATGTTTCCTCTTTTTGCACTGAGGTGACCTCCTTTTTCCTCAGCCTTCTCCTATTCCCTTAGTCTTGGTAAGTCCCTTACACTTCCAGAAATAAAGCAGACTGGAGTTCAAAAAGAAGAAAGTGGGAGCAGACAGACATCCACTTTCCCTTCTTAAAACGGCACTGAAATATGTGCAAAACCAGAGGAGAGGAAGGACAGACTTGTATTACCCGAATTAACTGGAGATATCAGGTAATTACTAGCATAATTCTTCCTGCTGGCCCTGAACTCTGCTTAAAGATCAGATACACTCTGTCACTAACCCTGTTAGTACACATACACACACCCCTCCTCATCATTTCTCAGTATTGGTCAGCCCAGAGCTACTGTTTCAACGCCTTCAGATTCTTTAGGAGAAGTCTTATGCTATTGTGGCAGCTTTCCAGGTGTGCTACAGAAATGAAAAGATTCCTGAGAGAGGAAAAAAAAAATAAATCCATGCAATACAAGACTGCTCTAGGGCGTTCTCTAGGAGCCGCAAGAACTGTAATGTTTTATTATAATACTGCAATCACAAACAGAACCATCGCTCCAATAGAAGGGGTGAATTCTTTCACGTCAAGATGTTTCCAAAGACTTGCCAAGGATGCGCTCCGCCTCCCACTCCTCCCTCGGGGTTTCCATGCCCTTGTTACCTGTACAAATGACGGTTGTCTTCAAAATCTTCCTGGCCCCATCTTCCCTTGATGTCTTCAATAACGTGGTTCTTCAGGAATTTTTTTAACAGCTGGACTGTTTGTTTGCGAGTCACTTCTGGGCCGAAGTTTTGACTGCACTTGAGTAACTCATGCAGCCAATCCACAGCTTCCGCCGCTGTGAAGCAGTGTTCGTAGCTCTTGAAGCGACAGCGGTGTTTCCGTAAGGGCATCCTAGCACGGAAAAGCTCAACCGTTTCGTTCCACTAAGAGAAAAAAATGAATAAAAGAGTATTTAGTCATTAACTCTTTAGGGGGGAAAAAAAATCAGGTAGCTCTGGGCGCCTAGTAAGTGCATAGGGAGTTGCTCTGCTCACTCAAAGGTGGTACCTCTCTGGGGGTTCGCATTCATCGTCTTTAAATGCTAAAGAAAATTTAATTTTCTAAAGATAGCTCATCATTTATCCATTCAAGAAACAGGGGGAATATTTCAACTTGTCCTATGATAGGAAAATAATGGACTTTCATAAAATAAAAAAACATATCATAAATAATGACAAAACTAAGCCCAATATTCATAATTTACTCCTTAAAATTCTTATATTCAATAGGACTTTAACTTCATTTCACAAGCATATATTATTAGGTGAAAGGCATGTCATTACAGATGGCAGATGAGAGATCATTAAGATAAAGTGCTCAGTGTGAAGATAAATCTTTTTAAAATAATCTGCTACCTATACTCTTAACATCAACAACAAATAAAGGAAATTTTTTAAAAGGGGAAGGGAATAGCTGTTTTTGTTTCCATGCAAAACAGAGCTATTTAGAAGAATGGCTACTAGAGCTTTTAAATAATATATGTTACTTTTTTTTTTC